CAAAAAGATGAAGATATATATATCTATTTATCTTCATTTCCACATTTTCCTCCTCCAAGATCCTTACTATTTTACTTAACGTGGTGAAAAATTTCATAGCTGTCTGGGCTATAATATGACAGTAGCATAGGAACATAGGAGCAAGCAGTTTTTGATGGGAAAAATTAAAACTCTCCCCAAGAACTGAACTTTTCTCAGTACACAACTCATAATTTTTGCTATTGAGTGGAAGTCCTTAACTGCAGGTCCATGACTGAAATTTCAGTTTAGGTTCAGGTAAGCATTTTTCAGGAAGTGGGTACAAAGATTATTTTTTTAAACAAATTCTCATGCAAACAAACAAAAAGCTACAGGGACAGGAAAAAGGATCAGGGGAAACATTTATTGTTCTAGATTAATAGTTACCTAAGAGTGGTTTTCAATTTTTTTTAAAGACAGATTGCTTTGGCAAAGCAAAAAATGCCTATCCTTTTCTGCTTATCACAACAATTAAAAAAGCAACTCTGCTGAGACACGAAAATAATACTAACTGTTAATAAGAACTGCAAAAAGAAAAAGTTAATATTCAAAACAAGAGACCAGTGTTCTACAAAGGACAAACCTCTCACAAACTATCCGGAGTGCTCTCAATGACTACACTAAAAAGCCAGACATGCAGAGATTCTACTGTATCGAATTAACAAGGCATTCTTTCTATGCACCACTCCCTGGAAACAGCTTTGTCATTCAGTATTCATGGCTTTAATGGTATTTTTCGGGGCAGCTGTTTCATTTTTCTTGTTTCATCCTTTAAGTAATAAGAAAAGTAAAATAATGGCAATGATTATGAACACAGGAGGGTAAACCACATACTAGAATAAATGTAGAGTCACTCTAAATATCTTACTATCACAAATAATCTGTAAGATTATGGGTACAATTCAATAATGAAAATCTAAAGTTATTTTATTTTAGTGGACCTACTACATAACTAGATCATACGCTAGACTCTCAAATACAAAACAAAACTGTAGCAACTATCAAAATAAAAATAAATGATGTGGCTACAGAAGGAAAAATAGGAACATGATGCTGCTACCTTCTCACTCAGCTTTCTTTTCCTTCTCTATTAAATTCCTGGGCCTTGTGGCGGGGGGAGGAAGCAGTATGGGAATTACAATTTATAAACAAAGATGCTTATCTACTGATAGAACCAAAAAATAAAAATTCCATTTCCCTGCCATTCTACATTCCCCCATACCAAAGTAAACAATCCAATATTTCTTTAGTTTCTTGTGTAGATTATCCACTTTAAATAACTCTATTTTAATCCAACGCCTATTTACTCAATAGTCCACTGGTACTATGTTGTTTTCAAAAATTGATATAATAGTGAAAATTTTAACTATTCAGCCTGAAATCATTAACTGGTTCTAATATTATAAATACTTTTCCTAATTAAAGAGAGGTATAGTTATGACTTATTATTTCCCCAAGTGTTCAAGGCACAATAACATTATATGAGACAACCTGAATGAAACAAAAAAGACTGAAACTCCCTTCAGATTACAGAGCTTTCCTATTTCAAGCAATGCTGTAACAAATGTGAAGTCTGCTCCTCTCTAGACACCTACTCTTTAAAAATTATTATTTCTTATTTTATTGAGATATACAAATTCAAGTGTATAGCTCAATGAATTTTTACATATGTAAACATTCAATTAACCACCACCCAGATTAAAGAGACAGGACATTTCCACCACTCTAAAAGATTTTCTCATGCTCTTTCCCAGTCAATACTTCCTCCCTTCTACAACAGATAGCACTATTCTGATTTCTATTACCATAGTTTAGTGTTGTATATTCTTGGTCTTCATTAAAAAATGAACTCGTATAGTGTCTACTTTTATGTCTAGCTTTTGCTACTCAACAATATATTTTTAAGACACCCAAGTTGCATTTATTAGTAGTTTGTTCTTTCTTATTGCTGTATAGTATTCCTTTTTCACAAATGTGCTCGTTTATAGACATTTGGGTTATTTCCAGTCTTTAGCTACTATGAATAAATTTGCTGTGAACATTCATGTTTTGGGGGAATATATGCATTCATTTCTCTCATGTATATATCAAGGAGTGGAATTACTGGGTCACAGGTTAGGTCTGTTTATCTTTAGTAGATACTGCCAGATTTCCAAAGTGCTTGAATCAATTTATACTCTCACCATCAATGATTAAGACTTACCTACAACCTTGTCAACTCTGGGAATTGTCAGTCTTTTTAATTTTAACCATTCTGGTGGGTGTGCAACGGTATCTTGTTCTGATTTTATTTCCCTGGTGAGTGATGATGACACTTTTTCATATGCCTAATGACAATTTGGATACCCCCTTTTGTGAAGTACATGTTCAAATCTTTTGCCCATACTAGACTTATTGGGATGATCACTTCATAAGTTATATAAATGTATAATCACTATGTTGTACACCTGAAACTAATATAACATTGTATGTAAACTGCAACTGAAAAAAAGAAAAACTCCGGTTGACAAAAAAAGAAAAATAGTAAGGAAAAGAGATGGGATATAAACAGAGGTCACTTCATCACCGTGCACTGATTTTCATTAGGACATATTTTCAAAGAATTCAGCACCTAGAAAGTACTCAATAAATAATCTGTAACATCCACCAAAAAAAAAAATTTTAAAATTCGATTCTTTCATTTTGAAGTGTCTGATATATTCTGAATATAAGTCAGATATATATTAAACTATTTTCCAACAGTCTGTGAGTGTCTAATTTCTTAATGATGCCTTTTGATTTAAAGACATTCCTATTTTCAGTGAAGTCCAACTTTTCTTTTCTTTTTTATGGTTAGTACACTTTTGGGGACATCTTTTTCTCGCAAGGAAACTCTAAAAATTACTCTTCTAAAAGAAAAATTTAAAAATGTTACCTTTACCTAGTTCCAAGTGGCTCATAGTACAACGAGATACAACAAAAACCACGACCCAATTAAAATATTAAAAAAAAAAAAAAGGGAAGAGAAAGTGAAGAAATTGTAATGAGAAGAACTGTTAACAATGACAGAGTCCTAGGCTAAAGGAAGCCATTGAAATTTAGTTATAAGCTTCCGGACAAAATAGTTTTTAAATTTTTCTTAAAGTCATAAAGCAAAATCAAAGGATCGACTCAAACCTGGAAAATTTCTTGAGGCCAATGTTAAATTTACAACATTCTAAATAAATTTAAATTGTGGAGACCTGATTTAGAAGAAATTGGCAATGATGCGCTTTCACGTGGATGAGGCCAAAGTGAGATTTACGACACTCCCAATAATGAAATTAAACCATGGAGATATCACTCAGAAGAAATTGGCAATGAGACTTCAAAGCATCAGACAGATTTTAGTTTTATATCATTTCTAAATTTGCTGGTCATTTGATTGAAAATTTCCCCTGCTTAGAGGAATAATAATAGCAATAAAGACGTTAAAAACTAGCAACTGCCCTATGTCAATCTAATTCTTATCCATAAAACGTCAAGATTATAGGATAAGCCCATTCAACAGCAACTGAGAATTCTTGATACAAAAAGACTGATGTAAATGGTTCCTATCACTTTTGAAAAAAAATTAGTCTTCAAAAGATAGTAGAAAGCTCGACTTCAGTTTATCAAAGATCAGCAAATTTACTCTTGACTGTTCCATCTTTCTCTTTTGCCTTGCCTAAGCAAGTGATACATATCTATATTATGACAATATTTGAACCAAAACTTTTCCACAAATCCTAAAGGACCTCATCATAACTATTACTTCTACTTTACAACATCACAAGAAACTATTATTACAGCCATTTAACATACAAAGGTTAAGTAACCTCCCCAAACTGAGTCACTAGAAAACAGAAACACATGTTCTACTCAACTCCCTTCATGTTTTCCGGCAACTACTTCCTTTATCCTGTCACTAGCAAAACAAGCTAATATTATGAACGTAAACATTACTATTAATTTTTTTTTATCACTGAGTAAGAAATTTAAATGAAATACCCTCTTCAACAGAGTACGTTTCAAGAATGAACACATGCCCGCAGTTAACCCCTGTTTTAGCTGAAACATTCTCTTCCCTCTGCGATCTCCCAAGACTGTCGCAGTTATTTCTCCCTAACGAAAGGAGATAATTCCACTCTGTCCTCCAATCCAGAATCACTATGAAATAGATTAGCTCTTTCCAACGTCTTGCTTTCTGATGACAGCAGCTTCCCGGACCTTCCTCTTAGTCCTCATAGGCTCTAGAAGCAGCTGCCACTTTTCTCTAAACACCAATCACGGCCCCTGGTTCCCAGCCCCCGGTCCTCGGCGTTCTCTCTTCCCCACCACCCTACCCCACCGCTGCCTCAAGCCCCCCTCCCCCCGCTTCGCCCCCAGAATCGGCAGCTCGTGCTCACCTCGGCCCCTGACAGGAAGGGGTGCGAGGGCCCTGTGATCGTCAGGTAATTGTCATTTCCTCCGGGAAACTGGAAACCAAAAGCAGCAGGGATAAGTCAGGGAGAGCAGGGAGTTAGCATAGAGGGACGGATTCTGACCCCGAAGTTCTGACATTTCCCAAACCCCGCTCTCTCTCCCGTCCTCCCAGCCGCCTCTCCGCCCGGCTTCCCGCCTGTGCTTCAACCCAGTCGGTCACGCTCTCTCGTCAGCCTTCTTAGCGCTCGGGTTCCTACCTCCATCTTCACACAACGGCTACCACCGTCTCAGTCCCCTCATCGCTCCCACCGCCCCCACAGGACTCGGAACTGCCGTCACTTCCGCAAGGACTTGCGTCGCTCTCCGCTGATTGGAAGGAGCGCGGTAGGGCTGTTAAGAGTCAGGCCCGGGAAGGCCCAGCGAACGAAAAGGCTAGCTAGTTATCGCCCCCTGGAGCTTGGTGGGATAATGGCACGCAGGACTGTTAGAGGCGTCCCTGGAGGCGGTGTCTGGGTATTACCGTCGCTCCGACCGAGACAGGATTTTTGGGGAGAGCAATAGAGACGTAATCTGGGCTAGAGGGGCCGGAGCTCAGCCGATTGAGTGGCTAGAGAGGCCGGAGGTAAGTGGCTGTGGAAGTCGGGCGGACCCGGAATCCGGAGGAAACAGGACCATGACTTATGCTTATCTCTTCAAGTACATCATCATCGGGGACACAGGTAACCCGCAGGAGACTGCCTTCGCAACTGGGGCGGGGATCTGAAGCTCCCAAATCGGGTCGTGGGGGCGGGGCTCATTTAGCGGGCTGGGCGATTAAGCGAAGAGCAGGCGGGGCGGGGCGGCCAGGGGCGGGGCTCGGGGCTCTTCTTCCTCTGTCCCAGATGCTTAGACTCCGGACTATTCGTGGGCCGCGTGACTCCTAGAACGCGCGTCTTCTTCTTTCAGGTGTGGGGAAGTCATGTCTCCTCCTGCAGTTTACAGACAAGCGGTTCCAGCCTGTTCACGACCTCACAATAGGTAAGTGCATCTACCTGTCCCTGAACAGATAATGAAACCTGACTAAAGTGGAACGTTATCAGCCTTCAGAGTTCGAAGTTAGCTCTCCCTACTTTTAAGCTAGTCCAAAGTTATGTTAAATGAAGAGTGACCAGTCAAATGCTGTAAATGGGGAGTAAATAACTGAAAGATAACTTCAGAAATAAACGTGAGGTGTGGATTAATTGTCGACCGTAGGATTTTTTTTTTCCCCAAATACAATTTGAGTGTTTCTGGGAAATCCCATGAAAACTACTTATTCAGAAACTCACCATGCTTTGCAGTAAATTAGTGCTAGCCTCACATATACTTTTAGAAGTAATTACCAATATATAGATTGTTTTGTGTGTAGAAGAGGAAAAAGCAAATTGGAGAGCTATTCTAGACTTAAAAGGTAGATGAAACTAATAACTTTTAAAAAAAAGAGTATGATAGAGTTCCAGAAACACACTGTTGATCCTGGCGAGTATAAACATCCCCCGCATATTTGTGATAAGGCATGGCCTGCTGGGGATTTGACAAGCCCTTCCCCATTATCTCCACAACATCAGCCCAAATAAAGACTATATATGAAACCAGCTTTCTTACCATATAAATGCAATTTCTGAATAAAATCCCTGGCTCCCATTTTTACCACATTGCCACCTCTCGTCCCACCTTCTAGAAATCTGAAGCTACTACTGTGCCCAATGGACTTATTAAGAGCTTAATAATGAATGTTAGGAAAAGATGTAGAGCAGCGGTCCCCAACCTTTTTGGCACCAGGGACTAGTGCTATGAGAATCTAAGGCCCAATGATCTGAGATGAAGCTGAGACGGTGATGCTAGCTAGCACTGGGTAGCAGCTGCAAATACAGATGAAGCTTTGTTCACTTGCCCACCACTCACCCCCTGCTGTGCAGCCTGGTTCTGAACAGGCCATGGACTGTTATCGGTCCATGGCTGGGAGGTTGGGGACCCCTGATTTAGAGGACAGCATCAACAGGAAAATATTTTTGGAAATGAATATTAAGTGGACACCCACACTGTGATAGGTGTTAATGACAACAATGCTTAATAAGGCAAACATAGTGCCTGCCCTTAAGTACCTTACAGTCTTCTAATGTAGGAGGTGGGGTTGGAGGTAAATACAGTGCAGTGACAAGTAAATTCTTATTGCAAAAGGGGAGGAGAGGCTGCTACCTCTATCAGGAAAGGCTGGATGTCAGGGCGACTTGGCTGCGACATCTGTCACCCCATTGATCGCCAGGGTTGATTTGGCTGATCTGGCTGGGCGGGTGTCCCCTTCCATCCCTCCCAAAGCTGCATGCTGGGTCGAAGAGGATGACCTTCCCCGATAGAGGAGAGCACCGTTCTTAGGTCAAGGGTATACGAGTAGCTGCGCTCCCCTGCTACAACCTCTAAACAAGTTATTAGGAAAGGCTGAAGAATAAGCAGAAGTTAGCCAGGCAAAGGGGCTGTAGAGATGAGGGAAAAGTAATCAGGATAGGAGGGAATAACGTGCAAAGGCTAAGGAATGACAGAGATCAGGCTACCTTTGGAAAACAAAGTAATTTAATATAGCTGGAGCATGCAGTTTGAAATGGAGAGTGGCAAAAAATTAAGCTAGAGAATAAAATAGGGACCAAGTTTTGAAACACCTGAAGATAACGGGAATAAACGACAAGTTTTAAAGCAGAGGAATGACATGATTAAATTTTTTTCCAGAGTCCAATATAGGCTCTGTTTCTTTCTGAATTCAGTCCTCTAAACAAGGCAGTTGGATAGAAAATATGTGCAAAATATAAGGATCTCTGAGTGTAACTAGAGAAAGGTGCATAAAAGGAGATAAAGTTTTATTTTTTAATTCTTTGTTGAAATTCCATTCCTATTTGTACAGAAAGGAAAAAAATTAGTGTCTTTTTACAGTAGCTGTCGCTGTTCTTGATGAAGTAGTCTAGAGTAGTAAGAAATATTTTTTTCTCTTATCAACTACAGCACCTTAAAGTGGAGAGAGATACTCCGGATGTATTATACATGGGACTACTGAATAGGCGCATATGAGCCCATTAGCAGAAGCTAGATTAGTGCTCTTTCTTACTTGGAAATCAAAATTCCTCGAGTGAAGTACTGTATAAAATAGAACATAGGACAAATTATCTGACTGATCAAGTATTTTTAATGTAAATGACCCTTGAATTTTAAATTTTGTCCTGATATTACCTTGAAGTTGAATGCCAGGTAAACTGAAACCTTTGTTGAGACTGTCAGTTTCCATACTTCTATGAGGAGGACTATTTTCCAGTGAACTCTGGGAATTATTAGATATCTGAACTGTATCATTCTTGAGAGCTTATTTCTTAGATAGGCTCTTTTTTCAAAAAATATTATTTCCTATATAAGCCTAGAGAGTGACTTTGAGAAAATGCTGGGAAATATTTTTTAGAAGTGTTTTAAAAAGTTACAAAATTGAACATTACCTAATTAAATGTAAGTGTTAACTAACATTGCTAAAATTTTTTCACCTTTTCTATTTGACTTGTTAATTCATTTTATCCCCATATCTGATTTTTGGTTACATTCCTGAGGTCATAATCCCTTAGAACACACTTTTTAATTCTAGGGAAGAAATGAACTTCAAGGAACACAGAACTAATTGGAGCAACTAGGCAGTGGTAATGCGCTTAGTGGCACTGAGTGCAGACAGAGGAGGAGTCATTAGCACATTGAAGAAAGCATGAACCTCTCACTCAACATTAAAATCACATTCTTTCTCTTGGTCTTCACTGACAGGTGTGGAGTTTGGGGCCCGTATGGTCAACATTGATGGAAAACAAATCAAACTGCAAATCTGGGATACGGTGAGAGAGGATAAAATAATTTAGTACCTGACCAAGATCCGAACATAACACTTAAGGCCAATGAAGGGAAAAAGGGCTAGGAGGGTGGGCTAATGGTGGAAATGAGAATAAGGGAAGAGTGAAATCAAAGAGATAGGAAAGCTTTCACTTCCCTCTGTTGCAGTTACAAATATAAATGCTATATATTTTAATTTTTGTTTTAATATATGAGTTCTAGTAAAAATAAAAGCAAACAGTATAAATGTATAGAGTAAAAAGTGAATGTCCACTTTACACACATGAACCTCTCTCCCTCCCAATCTTGGTTTCTGCTTGACCAGAGTAAACCACTATTAATGATTTAGACTTTTTCTCTGTATTTAGATACATAAATAGAAACAAATATATGGTAATGATTTTGTTTTTGTTGGTTTTTAGAAGTATGGCAAAGTAGACCTAGCTTCGTGACTTAAGTATTTTTGTCAGCAATCTCTGGATTTTGTAGACTTTCCCATGTCAATGCGTATAGATCTACCTCATTTCTTTTTATTTTTTTATTTTATTCTTATTATTTTTATTATGGTGACATCGGTTAACGAAATCCAGTAAGTTTCAGGTGTACAGTTCAACAGTAAACCTCATTTCTTTTAATCATAATTTATTTAACCATCTTCTCATTGATGGAAATTTAGATTGTTTCCAATTTTTTTATCATTGCAAAGTTTCTTTGATTACTCTTATTTACTACATCTTTATGCAGATGTTTGAGGATTTCTATGGAATGCCTGCTCATGAATGGAAATTCTGGGTCAAAGGTTATGCATATTTTAAAATTTGACAAATGTAGTACTGCTAAAATTTAGCTTGACTTAGTGTAATTTGGCGTCATCCAGATAAATTTATTCCATGTACATTATCTCAGTTTGGTTTGTACTTTTGATTTCTCTGAGAAAAATAATATTCTAGTCTCTATGTTAAGTTAAAGGGAGCTAGCGCATATTCCTTCTATTCAGCTAAAATCTTTTCCTGATTTTTGTTTATTTACTTCTGTTCCTTCTCAGAACTGAGAGTTGAAGCACTTATATCTACAAGCTGTTTACAAGTGATTATTCTTTTTCTTTCTCCCTTTACCCTTTCTCCACTCACCATGCCCCAACATAGGCAGGTATCTGTCTTAAAAGTAGTTACTTGGTGCTGCTCTAGACCCTTTTTGCGCAGTGTCCTTTTCTGGTGGTCTCCAAGGTTGTTAGCACATTTGCATGTACTGATTGATCAGCTGCTTTTAACACGGATGAAATTCTTCTGTATATTTGTTGGTTGTATTTGTAAGCATTTTAATAATCTTTGCCCTTCTGATCAGATTTTTCATCATTTTTCATATTGGCTTGTCCTAATTATAGGAACATGAATCATTTCACATCTCAGATAGTGGTAGCAGTAGCCAGATACCTCTAAAACTTCCAAAAACTTGTATCTTTTGGCCAATTTTGTCTTTAGTCTTTTCCTCCCAATAAAGCCTAAAAGTTATTACTCTATATCTGTTGCCAAGGTTAAGTTCGTATATGTTCTAAACAGCTGCCACTTATTCCTTCCCTTCTCTTTTCATTGTTGGGCCCAGGGGTTATTTTTCACTATTAATTCAAGTAAGTATTTCAGCTCTCCTCTTATTATCCCCCCTGGTTTTTGTATTTCCCACAGATATATATTTGGCCCCCTAAAGAGGCCACAGGACAAAATTTTTGAGGTGAGGAAGAGTGAAGCCTATAGGTGTGAAGACTGGTATAGCTAGATTCTGCCTTTTTAACTTAAACCTCTGTCATTTCCAAAACTGGATCTTTTGATGCTAGGAGACCCAAGAGCTGCCAGTTAGTGGTATGGTAATGGTTATGAGAGTGAGCATTGACTTGCTGGGTTTTTTCCCCCTTAAATGGTAATATGAATCATGGTAGATCATAAAATAAGAAAGTTGAGAGCCACTGCTCTGTTGACAGGATCCTGAAGAACCACATGGCCACTTGTGATGCATTTGACCTAGTTCTTTCCTACTCTGTTTTAGTAATTGTTTTGAGATTAGAGTAATCTTTGTTGAATCATAAAAAGATATCAGACAGATTTCAGAATACTGGGATTTTCTATTTATTTTGAAAATTTTAAGAGATTCCTATTTATAATGTGTTTGTCTCCTCTGCCACTCTCTGGGTAAGCCTGACATATCTCCCTTGTCATCCCAGATCTTCTGTCCATTGTTTACCCACCTTGGCTTCCCACTTTGTTGACCCCATTCCCTCACTTACTCCCAAAGCCCTCCTATAGCAAATGTCTAGGGATTACCATGAAGGGTTATTTTTAAAGAGATCAAGTTACCCAGAGTTTTTTGTTTTCACTGTTCTGATTATTGAGAAGGATTTAGAGAGCCATGTTACTTTTTGCCTTTCTTCATTTCGTATCTATAGTTGCCTAAACAACTGTGCTAAATGAAGAGACACTATACTGTAGCTAATACAAAATGTTGATTATTTAATCCTAAAATCATTTGTATTTTGATTTGGAATGCATTTTGATTCTTAGGGAATGAGCATATATGACTTTGTAGGAATTGATCTTGAAACTACAATATGTGCTTCCTCTTGGGAGAAAATAGAAATTGTTAATTCTCTTTATCAAACCTCCGTCCTAGTCTTTGCTGCTTCAGATTTTTTTTTACTGGGGATGGACAAAGGTACCTCAGACTGATGTTGACCAGCCCAAGTTGAACTCTAGCTTGTTGGCTCTCAAACTTTGGCTTATGTACTGGACTAAGATGAAGAAGTGATTTGATTTTAAAAGGCATTTTCTAATGACCCATGGGAAGTGTTTTCAGCTGTTAAATTTTGCCATGTGATTCAACCATCACGTGAGCTTCCTTCCAGCTTTCCTTTTAGTTCCTACTAGGCCACAGGGAAGGAGGGGGCTTTCAATAATAGCAGAAGAGGAGAAAAACTCAGTAAGAGATAAAAACAAAACGGGAATCAATTTAAGACATGAAGCAATTAGGGAATAAATAAAACTTTGAGTTCTTGGAGGGAAAAAGTATATTTTAAATCTTAAAGTATTACTAATATTATCAACAAATCTTAAAGAAAGTGATTCTTGTATTGGAAAAGTAACCTTAGAACTAGTGTACTGTAATTCTCTTCTGACCTTCAAACCCAGGTTTAGATTATATGACATAATGGCAAAGAGAAAAACTTTTGTGCTAGGAAGTACTAAGATCCTAAGTTTAATTTATAGATCCAGCATTTATAGATTTTATAACTTTTGGCCAGTTACTGAACTTATCCTATTGAGCCTCATTTTTCTCATTTGTGTTGTTAATTAGTGTTATCATATTATTATTATTATGAGAAAGCCATTTATTTTCCCATATCCACATTTTAGTTTTCCTATCTTTAAAATATGAACCTTTATGTAGGGATATGAGGATAAATGATTTCAAGAATGTGAATAGGATAGATTCAATGCCCAGTTTATTCATATTATTATTTAAAAGATGCTTTTGCTTCTCTAAGGGTTAAAAAAAAATACCTATTTCATAAAGCAAGGAAAGTACCTAGTATGTGGGGGCATTAATAAATTGCTCAGTTATTAAAAAAACAACATCCTAACCTCAACTGGAAATGAGATTAGAGTGTGAACAGTTGAATTTTTTTTTTTTTTTTTCAAAGAAAACTCTAGCCTGGGTTCTGGGCTTCTTTTCTTGTTCCCTAGTGCTATTTACCATGACAAGATCCTAGCAAGGGACATTTTGGTTGTCCTGCCTTTATTAGTGGTACACTAAAGGTCAATTCGCATATCCCCAATTTAAGTGCTTGGTATCTGACTAATTTTCTACATTGATATATTAAAATGAAACTTCTGTTGGGTATTGGCATTCTAAGATAATTTTCTTTTTTACAGCTAAAGTAATAGAAACAGAAAGGAAAGGTTAATGTGATTTGTTCAACATCATGTTTTGGATGGACAATGCAATACACTCTGAGTTTCTAGGCCTATTTCCATTTTTTCTCTCCTAGGGATTATTGGGAAATGTATGAAATGTCTAATTGCCACACTGACCGTGGTGCGCTACTGGCACTTAGTGCCTAGGAACCAGGGATGTTAGTCAGCAGTTTGATAAGTGGTCTCACAGGAAGAACTAACCCAGAATATCATTTGCATTCCCTTTGAAAAATATTGATTTTCCACCTGGTTTTCTTTCTGGGCATTCATGTTTCCTTTCCCTAATTTTCTTTTCTTAATATAAATTATTTTAAAAAATTAAGTCCTTTGTTTTAGAGTGGCATATGATCAATTTATTTCTCTGGAAATAACCTGGTTTTTTTGGGATTTTTTTGTTGCCACATTGGTGGATAAGGCTGGGCAAGAATCCTTCCGTTCTATCACCCGTTCCTACTACAGGGGAGCAGCTGGAGCACTGCTGGTATATGACATTACAAGGTGAGTCAGAACTAGTGGGTGGGAGGGAGGCCGTTCCCTATGTTCTCGAAATCTTCTTCTCTTCTATCTACTGATTCTGGTAAGAATGGTAAAGAAGAATGGCCTCTCTTATATTTTTCTTTACATGTGTAGTTTTCCTCCTTTTCCTATACATTTGGAATTTCTTTGGCATTTTGAAATGGGCCTCAGACCCACTTTCTAAACTTTTCTGCTGTAGGCGTGAAACCTTCAACCACCTGACCTCATGGTTAGAGGATGCCCGGCAGCACTCTAGCTCCAACATGGTTATCATGCTGATTGGGAATAAGAGGTAAAATTTTATTTGAATAAATAATAGGTACTAATACTCATCTAGGTATTTTGTGGACATTGAATCACTTGGTCCCCAAACTTTTTTAGTTTATGATGTTCTCAATAGCTCAGTAAAAAGAAATATTGTGGTGAAATACATAACAAAATTTACCGTTTTAATATTTTCTTTTTTTTTTTTTTTTTTTTTTAGGTGAGGCAACCCTTGGTTGACCTCACAGGTTGCAAGGACCTTGTCAGCTTACAATCCCTTATTTTTTTATTTTTTATTTTTTGTGCCTACAGCACCTGGTCTTCCTAGGTGGTCTCCCATCCAAATACTAACCAGGCCTGACTCTGCTTGGTTTCTGAGATCAGATGGGATTGGGCTTGTTCAGGGTGGCATGGCTGTAGACCGGTTTTAATCATTGCTGAGTGCAGTTCTGTGGCATTAAATATGTTCACGTTGTTCTACAACAGTCACCACCATCCATCTTCAGAACTTTTCATCTTCCCACACTGAAACTTTGTTCCCATAAAATACTTATCTACATTCTCCATCCCACTGGTCTTAGCAACTACTGTTTTACTTTCCGTCTCTATGAGGTTGACTATTTTACGTACCTCATATAAGGGAAATCATACGGTATTTGTCCTTTTGTGACTGGCTTCTTTCACTTAGTGTAACGTCCTCTAGGTTCACATATATTGTAGCATATGTCAGAAATTCCTTCATTTTTTAAGGCTGAAAAGTATTCCTTTGAATGTATTTGCTACATTTTGTTTATTTGTTCATCTATTGGTGGACACTTGGGTTGCTTCCACCTTTTGGCTATTGTAAATAATGCTGTTGTGAACATGGGTGTACAAATATCTGTGTCCCTGCTTTTGATTCTTTTGGGTATATACCCAGAAGTGGAATTGCTGGATCTTATGGTAATTCTAAGTTTAATTTTTTGAGATTCCACCATACTCTTTTCCACAGTGGCTACACCATTTTACGTTTCTACCAGCAGTGCACCAAGAGTTCCAGTTTCTCCCCATATTCCCCAACAACTTTTATTCTTAGTAAATTTTCTATGGTACTAATAAGCCAAAAAAAATAACAGTTTTGTTATTAAATAGTTAGATCTAAACAACATAAGTATTTTTGTCATAACAACTTAGTAACTGTATGAAAAATAGAAAGCATAAATTAAAACAGTTTTTAAAATTTTATTTTATTTTTTTGTCTTTAATAAAAAGCTAAATGGCTCTTTGCTTTTACAACAAACCTGACCATTAAAAATTTATTCTTAAATAGTCGTGATTACACTAATGACCTGTGGGTACCTGCATAGCTTCTTAAACTTTAGAATTAGGATTGGATACTTTCCTTTCCTGTCCCAAAATGATTTTTGTACAATACTTGCTTTTTATTTCAGCAACTGCCAACAACTCAGCTTCACAAAGATATGAAGATATTAAATGGCATCTGTTGTAATCTGATATTGACACTGAACTATCTTAAGCTTGTCATTCATGTGATGTTCTTATGTTGAATGTTGCTGTGTTTCCCTTGAAAATTTAAATTGTCCTGTGGTACCCTTGTGAGTTTGTAGCACTGCGTCAAACTGTGGCCACAGACTAATTGTACTCATTTATTAGGTCAGCCAGTTTCAGGGAAAACTTACTATGTCCTAGACACTGTGGCAGACTTTGAGTGCGCAAGGTGTATAAAAAAACACTCATGCCCCTGTTCCCATGGAACTTACAGTCTAGTGGGGACATTATAAATGTGGTAAATACAGTGAAGGAAAAAAGGGCTGCTATGAAAGAGCAGTAACAAGGTACCTGTTTTTGATTAAGAGTGAGTGATATTTAGGCTGGAATCTGAAGGATGAGTGAGAGTTCGGTGAGCAAAGACTTAAAAAAAAACAAAACAAAAAAACCGTATACCAGATAGGGAGAACAAACTGTGTGAAAGCCTTGAACTGGGAAGAAGCTGAGCAAGTTATGGTATTGAAAGAAACCTGGTATGGTTGGATTGAATCAAGGGGGAATGGTGCAAGATGAGGTTGCAGAGTAGGCAGGGGCCAGATCTCGTGGCACTTACCTTAGGAAGGAGTTTCGATTTTATTCTAACCACAGTAGGAAACATTTAAGTCTTATGCAGAGAAGTGGCTTGATCAGATTTTAAAAGATCTCTCGGGTGGGGAACAAGGGTTGAAGTGAGATCCTAGTTGTAGTACACCAGGCGAGAGAGAACGGTGGCTTGGACTAGAGTGATGATGCTGGAGAGGAAAGGATGATTTCAAGGTACATTTTGGAAATAACTCACTGTGTATTGGGTATTCAGAGTGAAAGAAGGAAGGGTGTTAATAATGACTTCTTAGTTTTGGGCTTGTGCTATTTATTGAGATGTGGAATCCTGGGGCAGAAGCAGGTTGGGAAGACAAGACCAAGTTCCATTTTGATGTAAGTTTGAGGTGCCTTTTACAGAGCAGAGTGGAAATGAAAAAAGGCAAATGGACAAAGATCTGGAGCTAAACGGAGCATTTAGGATTGTTGATATTTAGATGGGTAGTTCTTCCCTGGTATTTACACAGCTAATAATAAATATACATATTGTAGATTTTTTTTTTAATGGACTTCCTCGTTGATATTTTTTTTTTTCATGGTTGAAAAATTGGAAACCTCCCAAATGAAAATTTCTAATTGAAAAAGTGAAACTCAAACAGTCCATCTTTACTTATTCTGCAGCCTTTTATCTTGTCTTTGATAAAGTCTTTCCATGCCACTTTATTCCCTTTCTCAGTCCTTGGCTTTATCTTTTTTCCCTCGTATCACCTAATTTTATTGTTTTCTCTGAATCCTTCATTTCCCTGATGTCAAGCTGCTGTTATACACATTAAAAATTAGACTAGTGAGAATTAAGGGAACTGCATTCTTATACCTGGCTTTCTCTCTTCTTGTGGATTGATTCCAGTGAGAGAGGAGGACACTCTTCACTCTTGGATGGGACATCTATCACTTTTCTCCCAACAAATAAAATTTCCCTTTTACCTTCTTTCTTTTGCTCTTACTGGATCACATTTGAAAACGAAGTATAGAGCATAAGCCTTAAGTAACTATGGGGCTTGCTTGCTACTTTACAAACCCTTTTCTCTGTAATAGAGTAAGGTGTTATTCTCAACCATGCAGCAGATGTCACGGATTTGAAGAATATTTTCCCAGAGGCTATAGAAATTACTAACCCTGTATAAGAGAAAATCATCTAGGAGTTACATTCTTTATGGATTAACTGACAGTTGAAACAGCTATGGGATTCTTTTAGAACAAGAGTTTCTTCTTTCATTGAGCTCTTATTTTAGTTTTCTCCCCAATTAATCTCTTGCAGTGACTTAGAGTCTCGCAGGGATGTGAAGAGAGAAGAAGGAGAGGCTTTTGCTCGGGAGCATGGACTTATATTCATGGAAACTTCAGCCAAAACAGCCTGCAATGTTGAAGAGGTATAATTAGGGAAAAAATAGGGAAAACTTTTCAGAGAGTACACCATATCTTTGTCCTTTTATTCCGAATTCTGTAAGACATGGGTAAGGAAAGAATGTCCATTGGTCATAGTGATCATATGTCTCCCTTTAAGGGAACTGTCCCATTTCTTTTACCTTGATTTCTAAGGTTTTATCTTTACTTTGGATAACATTTTTAAGTGTGGGTTAAGCCCACTGTTACTTGTAAATCACGTTAATTGGAGGGTCTGATGGGTTCCTACTGTAGTCATTCCTTCAGTAACTTAATTGAGAAGAGAATCTGTTTTATATGCAGAGGGTGTCAACCTAGGAATCTTATGGACATCTTGGGTCAGTACCTAAATACTACGTAATTCCTTTTTTCTATTTGAAACCACTCTCAATGGCTTTTACAAGGACTTCGGGGGAACTTTTGTATTTTTACTCTGTTCTTCTGATGGTTTCTCATTCACCTTAGAAATCCAAATAGGAATAATATTTGTATTCTCTTTTCCTAATTTCTCTACCTGAATAATGAGCCTAATAATATGATTTATGTCTCCTTTAGGCCTTCATTAACACAGCCAAAGAAATATATAGGAAGATCCAGCAGGGTTTATTTGATGTCCACAATGAGGTGAGAAAGAGTGGGGGACTGACTGACAATTAACTTTGCTTTGTCTTAAACAGGACAGGAAGGTCCCTAGAACGTGAGGGCCCTAGGGTCTAACATCATACTATTTGAAGCTATGCCAATTCATACTTGGTTTTTTTATGTAGGTACACAAAAACCTATCATCATTTTGTTTGTTTGTTTGTTTGTTTTTCACAAGTCTGAAATCCAGAATGCTTAAAGCGATTTTTAGTTGGTAATCTAAAAGATATACAATATGGGAGGTTTTCTTTCCAACCTCAGTGTTTTGCTCTTCCAGAACATGGGGGAGGTGTGATTCCTAATTGCTCAGCAGGGCCATTTCTATAAAGCAAATTCTGGGGCAAAACAAAAAGGAATTATATGTTAATATGCTAATTCTACTCTTTTGTGTGCTCACACTTTTATCTAATCACATTGTGATTCAGCACAGAGCTATGAAAATTAAGTATAACAGTCACCTTAAAAATGGGCACAAAAGTCACTTCTAGTCTTCTGTAATACTTATACCACAGCTGGTTGTCTCATTTTTACTATCACAGTGTAGCTAGGGTACATGGATACACGCCAAGGTCATATCTGCTTGTAGAAAATGTAATTAATGATTTCCTTTTATACCCCTTTTTCTCCCATTTACTTTAGCACTTGAAGTGGGAACTATTGTTTCTTTTCTTTTATAGGCAAATGGCATCAAGATTGGTCCCCAACAGTGTATTTCAACATCAGTGGGATCCAGTGCCTCCCAGAGGAACTCTGGTGATGTAGAGTCCAACTCTGGCTGCTGCTGAACATCTGGCCTGGACTCTCTTTTTCTTCCTGGAACAGCTTCATATCAATAGGCTTAAAGAAAGAGGTCTTACTTGTTTTGGCTGAGAAAAGCTTCTTTCAAGATGTGATGTTTTGCCTTTCCACTTAAAGACCAAGGGAGAATTTGGGCCTTTACTGACCTGTCTTTCTTCAGGGATGTGAGCATTCCCTATAGAGTAAGGCTCTTCTCATCTTCCTATTTTAATTTCTAAAATGTTAGGATCAAATTCGATTGTCATGGTAGTTCAAAAATAAATTCTTTTATGAGTATACACAATCTGCTTCCCACCAAGAATTAGTAACTAGGATCTGGGACATTCTGCTTGAGTACTTGAGATTACTGGGATCTGGCTGGCCTTTGGACAATAGATTCTCTGTCTAGGACTTTCATTGAGTTTTTTCACTTGCCACTTTATAAGAGTTCTTGCAGAAGGCAGTTCCTTCTACCTAAACTTCTCTACCATCCTATTACTAGTTTCTCTGTCTTAGAGTAACTGTGAAATTTTTGACAGCAGTGGAGTTGCTCCTGGACCAGTGTCCACTTATCTTTACCTAAAGAAAACATCTTTCCCTTTTCCTTTTGTTTTAGGGACCAGACCTAACGTTGCAGTGTCTCTCACCAAACAGACCCCTACTGTTTCATCACACTCACTTCTTAATGGACCTATTTAGACTTTTTTACTCTATAATCAAGCTAATCTGCTTACTTACTTGACATGACATATTTACTTCACTTCTATGCCTTTGCACATGCCCCAGTCTCTGCTAACATTACACTCAGAGTCCAAAAAGTTTTCCTTTAGAAAGCCTTTGACTGATCTAGGGACTTCTAAACAATTATTGACACAGTACCCTTTAGTTTTCATATGTTCTTTATTCATATGTATATTTATTTGTATTTATGTTACTCTGTAAATATGTTTTATAGTTGTTTTGTGTGTGGAATTTGTCTTCCAATATAGGTTGTAAGCTCCTTGAGAGCAGGGACCATATTATCTTTTTTACTTTTGTAAATCACTCTCTCCACCATTTCTTCACAGTGCCTAGTGCTATTTATGTGATCTTTGAATTTAACTGACATACTTAAAGACTTGGAACAGGTCTATTTTAGACTACAGAGGAAACAAAAGGCCTTAGAGTCATCTGTTTGTAATTTTATCTCAGTCTCTTCCATCTGCTTACCCTGGATTCTATATTGATCTTCTCCCTCTCCTTTCTCCCTTCCCTGGCTCTTTGCCTCCATTCCATGTAGTGTACACTAAGGCTGCCTGCTTCTGAGTCAAGTAAGTGGATACTTTAGCCATTCTTTTCGAGAGCACATAATACTATCCTAGTCAAATCTGCCTTTGTTTGCCTCATCTTACAGCTTTGTGGTTCAGTTGCTTTACCTTTTTGCCTTGCTGTCCCATTCTCTTCCACAGCACCGTGGTCTCATGAATTTTTCTAATTTTGTTGTTGTTTGTTTCATTATTAAATATATGCATGTATCCAAGCTGCTCATATTTCATGTGTCATTTCTGATAGTATCCCAAACACAAGTAGATATTCTTCTAAGGAATTGTATCAAAGGTATTGGAAGAAGACTCCTTGAGATACATTTTGTACTGGATTCTGCCCCGAGTAGTAGTAGTAGTAGTAGTAATTAACACTGCACTACAGGAAGTTGGAAGACATTTAGAGTGTTGCTTTGATTATGCTTTTGTTTTGATTTTAAAAATCCTACCTTGTTCCAAAAAGGATGAGATTGTTGAGTTTGGGGTTAGCCTGCAACCTCACACTAGGGACAACACTGAAGTAAATATAAAGTTTTAATTTCTGTACAGTTTTTCTTTACCAACCAAGGTAATCTTTAGTGATTGGGAGGTATCAGAGCATTGATCAAAGATAGCATTCTGCCTAGAGCTGCTACTTTCAGTCATTGAAGGATACCATTTTGGTATTTTGGAGAGTAGCTTTTTAGTCCAAAATCACACATCCGGTCTATTATCTAAACTATTCATAACTTTCTATACTTGGATATTTCGCTAATTGTAAGGGAACCGTGAGAAAAGCATCTGGGCAAATTCATGATCTGTGTTGATCATTGCCGATGTTCTGAGTGAAATGGTCACGAATTTTAGGAAGTGGATTCCCCACCACCATGTGAAGAATGGTAGTTCTGAGATAATACAGATATTGATTGGTTTTTAAGGCCAGAACCATTGAAAACCATATTTATGGACATCTAAGTCACAGTATTTATAAAGCATTGCAGATAGCAGAAATAAGAGCAGGCACACCCTTTCCCCTTTCTATGTTTATAACTGGTTCTTTTGATTGCAGGTTTATTTTGTATCATAAGCAGAGGGATAACAGGTTCTCATTCTATAAACTATTTGCATATGCATTTACAGACAAACACATTGTTCTGGTAAATCCTAATACCTCAAATTTGATATAATGATACCAGTTGCCAGGGGAAAATTGGCCAGCAGACTTTGTTAAATATACAAGGAAATGTATTTGGCCAAGTTTTAATCACTTCTGTGATGAAATAGCGACTCACGTGACTCCTTAAGGTCTCTGAGATACCATGTGTAGCCATGCAAATAAGTTATTTCTTGGGAAATGCCTTTAATGATCTGGAAAGATTGTTCACGAATTAAAACTTGTTGCAAGTAGAGATTTAGACTAGGAAAACAGGAAAATCTCATTGAGCGCAAGTGAACTTCAGTCACAATAAAGTTATTTTTTTTTCCAATTTAAATACAGTTATTAGAGAATTACTTTCGGCAGCCAGTGTTTTTAAGGCCTTAATCGCCTTCCTTACATATAATTTCTCCTTTGAGGCTTCTTTAGTTTGTTCTATTTGTATTCAAAAGTAGTTTGGGTCTATAGATGAACTTATTTTATTTTAAAAAAAATGAAATTCTTCCCCAAAACCACTTCATTTCCAACTGACTCTCAGTCCTCTGTGCTGCCTAAGTCAGAGCACGGGAAAACTTTTACGTTTTCGAAGCACAAGGACTAGAAGCATCTAGAATAGACACATAACCTGTTTGTCTTATACTGATATCCTGAGTGAGGTACCTATGAAGGATTATTCTAGGAACTGGGAAAATCCACTGTCATTTTAAGAATTCATTTTTGCCTCTTTGGTAAGATAGCCTCACTTCTACGCAAGGGTGGTGGTTGCCTCTAACCACATTCAGCATTATTCCAGGGTTTCTCCCCATCATGACTGAGGAACATCCTAATTACATAAAGGAGAGGATGTTGGACCTGGACCAAAGTAGTCCGACAGAACGCCAAAAAAAGCTTCAAATTCTTTAAAGCACTCCCTCCTTCCTCTCCCCAAGGTACCAGCCCGACCCAAGATGGCTTCCCAGAAACAGGTAACTAAATGTTTTAGTTTAGAGCGCCCCCAACGGCGGGGGTCAAAAACACAGACACACACACACACACACTCCAAGAAGCTTGAACGCCTGTGAACTGAGCATTCAGAGACGAGCTACCGCCAGATTTTATTTTCAATCAGGCATATCTGTGGTTGCCTACGTACCCTTCTCAGCCTTTTAGGACCTCCCACTCTCGAGAGACTTCCTGGATGGCACTCGCACTACCCTGCTGGAAGAGGCCGGGCGTCGGCCCTGCCATTGGTGGGTGGCAGTGTAGGTGGGCGGAGCCGAGCGAGAATGGACTACTAGCAAGCTAGATTGAACCGAGGGCTGGCCATGCTCCGCCGGAAGGCGCCTTGTTCTCCGAAAGGGTGAGTTGAAACGCTGGCTGGAAAGGAAGCACCAGGACTGGTTCAGGTAGGTTTCCCGCTCACTCTTGCTTCTCAGTGCTGGTCCAAGGGTCTTTGCAAAAGCTAAGGCTCTTAGAATTGGTTTTAATAACTCATTCTCCTCTTCGCTCCCCCGCCCCCTGCCCGTCCGCCAGTTGTTGAGGGATCAGGTGCTGAGTGATGCTCTGGACTGAACCATTCTCCTTTGTGAGAGGCCGGGGGAGAGGCCAGCTGCCGGGCCGCGGGGCCCCCAGCCGCATCGAGCCGCGAAGGGATCTGCCCCGGCCGCTGAGGAGTTTTAGGGCTTGTCATTGCATTACTGGGCGTGGTGTAGATTTGAGGCAGCTTCTTGTTCTCCTTATCCTTTCAGAGGATGGAAAACTCCCCGGCTCCGTTTGGTTACTCCATACTTTGGACTCAGAAGTGGGAGGTTAGGGGTTTTGCGTTTTTTTCTTTTTTTCTTTTCGTGTGTTTTAATAATAAAGGTGGGTAGGGACGCATGGGGCGAGGGTGTGTAACTTGTTATAGATTATTAGGTGTAATTTCTGTTGGTCTTCGAGAGAAAAGAGCAGGCTTTTGGAGACTGTTTAGAGATGGTGGGAAGAGAGGAACTCCAGCCTTGCATCTCCATTGACAGGTCTGCAGAGCTTACTCGTTTTCTCTTGCATTATGTAAACTCTTCACTAGCAGAAGACCCCTCCCCCTGCCTCGGAGCGAATGCAATTTCTTTATTTACCTGTCTCTAGTGTCGCAGGAAAATTTCCCTGCCGTTGCAGCAGCTGTGAAAATGCAGCAGCTCCTACCTTTAAAAGTGCAGTCTTGCAGAGATTAAGGTCTTCAAAGAAGAGGTGTATAGTGGAGGTGTATAAATGTGTAATGGACCACTCTCTTCTCAGTGACTGAGCATAGTAAGCCAAAAAAGTCAAAGACTTAAAATTGGATCTTTTTCTTTTAAAGAACGGACATAGTGGAATGTCCCAAACTCAAGCCAAAAGAGCTGTATTATCGGTGTCTTCTGTATCCTACCATCACACCAGCAGCCACAAATTGTTTATTTACTCTTCCTGTTGTTCTGAGCCTATCAGTTAAGTCAGGGATTCTCTGACTGGGTTATCTTTAGTAACAGCTGGGACACTTTAGATACTAGAAGGTGAGTTTGTGTTGTGAATAATGTCCTCTATTAGTGAATTAGATAATGTCTTCTGCTTAAGAATTTCTTTTGTATTGGTCACCACATAGGTTTCAGAACAAGTGTTGTCAACCTCTTAGGGCCAGAATGTGAGAAGCTTCTCATTACAAGTATTTTGGAATTATCTCGCTCCTTAAAAGAAAAGAGTTATAATAAGGAAAACAACATTTTCCATTTAATAAGACCTGGGTTGCAAGAGTGGTATACCAGTGGGTCTGCAAGGCAAGATGAAGGACACCAGCCAAAGAGAGGGTAGGCATGTGTGAAGAGATGGACTTGTGGGGAGGTTTAAAACTGAAGTAGCAGGGGAGTAATGGATTGGAATCAAGGATTTGATGGAGCAATTTATGGGTGCTTGCACAGTTCCCACCTCCCCCATGTGTGATCTATCCTGTGCCTCTGGCTTTTTGATTTTGTCAATTCCCAAATTGACAAAATCCATTTAGACATGGATAGAAAATGATAGAAATCTGCTGAACTGATTGTGAATCACCAGGAAACACAGATCTTGTATTTCCCAGGACAGCCTTCTCTGCAGCACTGCTGGGTGTTGGGATGGAAGAATCCTGGCATTGTGGTAACGCTGCGGAGTTTTGGTTGTAACAGGAAGAATTTGATATGTGAAAGGTTGAGTTTCTGATAGGTAAGGTAGGATGGTGAGGGGGATTAGTCTTTAAAGGAAACTGTAGTACACATCTTTAAAAGGGTGAGATTTTTCTAAGCAAAACTACCACATAAGATCAATTTATGGGTGCCAAGAACTGTGCTTGCTTACTAAAAGTATGAGATTTAATATTCTCATCTGTTGAAAGACTAACATTTTCAAAGCCTTCAGATGGGTGCTAAATGCTTCACAAATGCTGTTTGTCCACAGCCCTGCAAGAGTTAAGCTATCTTCTGAGCTTACATTGAGCCTAGTACTGCGAGGATAAACAGAAGACAAACATTTTTCTGGACCTTCCACCCTCAGTCCTCTTCTGGGCTTGCATTTGAGCAAGTCCCTAGTCTGCAGGACTTTGCCTGACCTACCCTTACACTACTGTGCTGTATTTACAAATTTACCTTTAACATTCAATTCTTTGATAGACTATCATTTCATATGTTACTCAGTTTAACTTTATATACCTCCTCTTTAGTTAATTATTTTTTTTCCTCACAAAGTTTGTAGTCTTCCTTTCATTGTCCTGTTGGGATTTTGTTCACTTTGCTTTTTGTTTTTATTCACTGTAATTGTGCCTTTTTGTTTCTTGCTGACCTTTTAAGGGATGTAATGAAACTCTAATTTTCAAGATGTGGTTCTTTGGTACCCAGTACCCAAGTGGCAGTTGTATTTCTATATAAAGCCGTTGTATGAACTGTTTACCATTGCCTAAAAGTTTATTTACCTGTTTATTACATTCTAAATTTTATCCTGAATAACCTGTCTTCCTCTTAACCTCTCAGTTTTGTCTTATGTGTGCACATGTATGAAGTTGTAATTTAGTTCTTTCTGTGTTTTCTTTTTTCTTTTTTTTTCCCCCAGAGGAGTAATTTGGATTCATTTACTT